TTGCCTCACAAAATTCTAAAACAGAATAACATTTGGATGATCAGAAAACGTCATTTTTTAACCATAAAACAGAGGCTAACACTATATCAAGAACACTGGAAAGATAGACAATTTACTGAGCTGAATCTGGAATAAAAACTTTTTTCGCCGGGTTTCTGTTGATTCTCCTGCTACCTGGGGATCTGGAAGTGGCGCGGGAGCCCTCTCCGACAGACGGAGCAGATGATGCTGTCAGCCACTCGCCAATGATATCTTTCTGCGATGAAAATCTCAAAAAGCGCTGCACTAATGAATCCGCCGCGCTAGATGAAGATCGGAGAGACGATCGCAGTAGTTTGCGAGGGTCTGAACCCTTAATGAACTGCCAAACAATTACTCGTCAACAAACGCCCAGAGATAATTAGAAAACGGGAAATTAGGTGCAGGCTACTGCATCAGCCTGAACAAAATATACGACTTCGGTAAATGGGAGACCCGAAAATCTACCGAACTTGTTGCGCATTGGAACAATTTATGATTCTTTGTGGCGGACGACAATGGTGATTGAATTTCCCCCGGAAAGACCTTCGAGAACTGAACTCGGGCAGGTGACGTTAGGTTCATAATAAAAAGTAAGACTGTGCCATTATATTGTGCTCAGCTGTGATACTGCGTCACCTCGTCACCTCGCACAGTAATGAACACAGTGTACAATAAAAATAATTCAAACTCATCACAGCAAGCTGAGGATGATAAGATCAAGCATATGGGGAAATGGAAGGTACAATGGAAAAGAAGACCACGAACAAGATTGTCGCAGGAGACTTCAACGCAGTGACTGGGAAAAGAACGAATAACACCTGGGAACGCAGCGGTAAATACGGAAAAGGAAGAAAAAATGGACGTGGATTGTTTTGCTTCTTCCATTGAAAACAACGTCCTTCACACAATGAACACCATTTTAAAGAAAGCTGCCATGTGACTGTGAAAATGGCTCAAATAAAATGTCTTTCGACCAAATAACCTTTGTGCTCAAACTCACATAGACTATGTACTCAGAACTCAGAGAGAATGTCCTTCAACCAAATAGCCTCTGGACTGAAGGACAAAAAACGAATAATATCAGACTTGTCGGTCACAATAGAGAACATCATCTATACAAGATCAGATCAAACTCTTGTACGTCACATAGGAACGATCGATGCCGCAAAAAAAGTGGATTGAAAAAACTCAAAGAGCTTCGCTTACTGGCAAACTACGATTCGATCCGAAGGCTCTTGCAGCCAATGTTCAACTTGAAGTGAACATCAGCGAGGACATGGATGTGGATCATTAGAATCTTATACATAACATCAAGATTAACGTGAAAACTTCAAGCAGGACAGCAAAGTAAACGAGAAAACAACATATCAACCCTTCAACAAGGCAGTTAATTGCAGAAAAGCCCAACTGAAGGCAATAGGCAAAATGAATAACATGCTCAATGTATTATACAAAGAGATATGGAAGAACTGAGGGAAAATTACACAAATTACAGGATAATTCGACTAAGAGAAGCTAAGGAGTGGAACAAATGCCTGCAAGCGGTAAAACGATAAATTCCTTGAAAGCAACGGATATACAGCGCGCTAAAGAACGAAAGAGGAACAAGAACAACTAATCGCAATCAGGTTAAAGCGATCTGCAAGAAGTTCTATGCACAAGCCTACTCTTCCAAAGTAGACCCGAATGAAAAGGTGACACGTGCTGCAGCACAAATCATTCCCGAAGTCACCTGAGGTGAAGTGGAGTGGACAATCATAAACAGTAAAAATGGCAAATGTCAAGGCAAGGACACCGCTAGACCAGAACACTTTAAAGCTAGAGGAATAATCCTGTTTAAAGCGCTTGCCAAATGTTTTACATAATACACCAGGCAAAACAAGACGCCTAAGTGTGGGAGACATCAAGAACGATTTTGATCATGAAGAGCGGTGACAACGAAGATCTCAAGAACCACGGACCAATTACATTCCTGTTAAAACGCTTCTGTACACAAAGCATTCACCCGCATCATTCATAACCGGATTCCGAAGGACCGCGAACCCACCACAAGCTACGAACAGGCCGGTTTTCGGATAGGGTTTTATACCATCAACCACACATATGTCATCCAGCAGCTCAGGGAGCAGCGCAACGAATATCAAATGCCACCGTGATTTGCTTAAATC